GCTAGTAGAAAGCTGCTCCTCACTGTGTCAGACGGACGCGTTCTACAGTCGTGGCCAGTCGTCCGACAGGCGGAGGCTCCTTTCCGAGGCCCTCTCCGGTGTACACGATCCTCCAAGACAAGGAGAAAGAGCCAGACGGATTTTGAGGAAAATAACACACCAAGAAGTGATAGAAATAAGAAAAGTAATCCTGGAAGTGATTGATCCTATTTGATCCTACTATTTGATCTAAAGCAACTTTGATCTGAAAGTACGTCTCAAGTATGTTCAACCAAACTGCTGAGAAGTTTTTACGTGATGCGGCACTCTCGAGGGTTCCAGCCCCTCACTTTAAAGCAAGAACGACTCCAGCTAGCTGGTGCTAGCTTTCGTGATGAAATTAAAAGTAAAATCAGCGTTCAACCTGTCCTTTTGCCCTGGCAAGACCAGCCCTTACCAGGCAAGTTATCCTGGCTGCTGCGGCGCCGGCAAGAACAGGAGCCCCAGGTGCGGCGGCGGTTGATCATCTCCTTCCTTGGTGCCATCGACCCTTTCACCGATCAAACGCCCTGAAGAGGTCAAAGCTATCGATTGAATCAACTGCAAAGAAAAAGGACCACGAGAAGTGTCATGGGAAAAAGGATGTGAAGGAAAAAGCTGGCCCCAAGGAAAACGGCTCCTTTCGGGTCTTTTGAAACACCCACAAAACCCCAAAAGACGCCGTTTCTTCGAACCTCAAAAGACGTGGTCCTCCTCGCGTCACGAGGATCGTCTCGAGGTTTCTAAGGTGAGCACTTGCAGTCCTGTTGCTTGTCGCCAGTTCCAATCGTTGCGTAGAAGGGCACCGGAATCTGCAAGGGCACCGGAAGCCATTCGGCATCCAAAGGAGGAAAAAGAAGAAACGAAAACCAGATCTGTCCGTTCGTTTGATCACATCTCAGCCGAAAGACAGACATCACAAATGGATGTGGGATAACCCTGTCAATTGATCGTCGCCGAGCATAAAATGCATTGCCTGCATAATCGCCTGGCAACTAAATGATGCAGGAACCTTGACTGACTGGATGTCTTCTTTAGGTCTAAAGGAACTCTAGGAACTCTTCTGTTTGACCTCTCTTTGACCTTAAGAGTTCAATAAAAAGCACCTCACCACAGCATCACCACAGCATCAACAGATTCGAGGCACCTGTCAAATCTCCACATTCTTGGCTCTTGAGAATCGGGTACCGTCTCCGTGCCATGAGCTTCTCCTCTTTGTCACCCTTGCAGGCTTGGTTGCCTAAGGACTTCAAGTACCCAAAAACACTTTGCTACTCTTCACTTCAAAATCTTCAAAAAAAGTGCACTCAGCACACCATCCACTCCTATCCACTATCACAACTACTTGGAGCGCAAAAAGGAGCCAATGGGAGCCTTATCGGAGCCGATGTTCTTCCACCCGCACGAAGCATTCGACAACCGCACCGCACCGAGCGGCTCCAGAGTTTCGGGTGCTTTCGTTCGATGTTCTTCCACGGGCATTTCTCCTCGAGACGCCGGACGATGTCGGATTGGGGCGTGCGGATGACCACCGACCACCACAGCCGGCGTTGAACATCGTAGCGAAGACCCGGCGGGTGTGGAAGATCACAGAAGGTTCTGCATGCGAGTTTAAACGTGCAAGAAACGACTTTGTTGTGAACATCAGCAGCTCCATGGTGTAGAAAGCGTCAAAAGAGAACGCCAAACCGCGTGTGTTTGGTGTTCCTCTTCAAATCCATTGTATTCTTTCTCACAAGTCTCACCCTGGAATGACCTGAACCCGCAGCTCTGGATGGACCCGCACTTTGCGGATAAGCATCAGAACCTCTTCGGCAGAGTTCCACTGAATCATCCTCATAGCCTTGGCTCGTCAAATTGGACAAGATGTTCTTTTCCAATTGGGGTCCAGTTGGTTGCATCGTGATTGCAGCCAGCATACTGGTCCAGTAATCAATGACCTTTCTCACATATTCATCGGCCTAAAAACAAACACAAGGTTTCCAGGGCGGTCAGCTATTCCGAACGCGGAATCTTCTTTCAATTTCTCTCGCGGAAATGTGCCTTGGGTCTCAAAAGCTTCTTGAAGCCATATTCAAAGTCCCACATCTGCTGCAAACTGATGTCCCAATTGAGAGCCATCTGAACCTCCGATGTGCAGCGTCTGAGAGTTCTTCTGTACTGCAGCTACCAGAAGCACTGGTGTTCTGCCAAGCTGCACCATTGTAGACCAGTGCTAAACACTGACAGTTTCCCATGCCCTGGTGGCCAGCTGAACTCACCGCTGATCATTTACTACTGTTTTAGGTCTAAGAGTCTAAGAGGTGCAAGTATTTCAAGCGTCTCAAGAACCGCCTCCCCCAAACACAAGGACACAAACACGAGCAGCAAAACCCCACTTTCCGGCTCAATCGGCTTGGACTTCCGAGAGTTTATCGAAGCACCCGCGTCTGTCCTTGGGCAGAGTAGGCTGTGAGGAGCGGCACCAACTTTCGACCACCTTTTCCTTGGGGTCCATGCCGAGGGAAGAATCATAGTACTTGGTGGCCTTGGATCATCATCGATTTGCTCAGAGGCACCATTTTCAGGGAGGACGCAAAGGTTCCCAAGGAACAACGCGGTTCCGGTGAGAACGTGCAGGTGAAAGCTGCAAAGTTGGACCTTTGTCGCCGTGTTTGGTGGAACTGAACACTGCCAGGGAGCTCTCCTCATGAAAAATCCACCAGCCTTCTCCATGCTCTCCTGCAGAGCAACGAAAATGGACGAGGAGCTTCACCATAGCATGACACCACCAACAAAGCACCCGACAGGTGGATTTTCAACAAAGCAAACTACGAGGTCACTCAAAAAGACCTACCCCAACACACTAGTTTGGTCTCTTCTCTTTTTTCCCCCAATGCCTCCTATAGCCTATACCATCACTGAGCCTTTTCTCTTATGAAGTCCAGCTGGCAAACCAGGCCCAGCACATGCGAATTGGACAAGGTCCAGTTCGGTGAGCCCCAGCCAGTGGGGCTCATCTCCCCCATCCCTGAACCACCACTCTGTTGGTGAGTTCTTCCCCACGGCTGCCTTCTGCGTATCTTCCGGTGGCACCGCACATCGAGTTAAGGGGTCTGTCCTTAACTGCCAAGTGACCGCCAAAGACACGACCGCGACCAACGAAGCCGAGCAAAACGTCTCTGCTGGTCTTTGAATGTCTTTAGAGTATCTGAGAGATCTGCAGGAAGCTATCTGAAGATCTGCATGTTCTGTTGGGAGAGCATGAACATCGCTAACACACAGTTGCGCTCCAAATCGTTCATCGCTCCGGTCATCTGAAACTGAGATCCGCTCCAGGCATGGTGCGATTCGTTTATCCAAAGATATCCAGTGCGGGCCACAGCTTGGTCAGTGCGAGGTGTGCGAGAACACAAACCCCAGCTGGGTCGGTGGAAGTCTGACTGGTCTTCACCGGGAGCTCAGTTCGAACAGGGAGCAACATCGGTCGATGGTGTTTTTTGCCCGATGGAAAACCGGGTCAGGCTGTGAAGCTGCTAGACTTTGAGGTCAAGACTGCAGGTCCACTCCGAAAAAGAACTTAGGAAGGGCCGGCGTTGCCTAAAATGGCACAGAGGGCCCTGAGAATCAGAGTAGTTCTTATCCAGCATAGTGTCAGTGGGTTTAAAACAACAACAACAACAACAACAACAACAACAACAACAACCAATGGTGATCAGGCAAATCCGCTGCTGCAAAAGGGAAGCCCAGCCAAAGTCTTATCCAAACATGCAATCAAGACACTTTGCAATTTAAAGGGCGGTGGGTCTGCAAAAGGCAGCCTTGAAGCGGCACTGATATAGCACACAGCCACAGAAATGGCACAAAGAAGTCCCCCCTTGTTTGTCACGATGCAAGCCCAGGCACACATTGTCTGCCACAAAAAGCAATGGACTCAAGGCCAAAGCGCAGCGAGGCTCGCGGGGCACCACCTCGGGGAAGAAAAGATCGCGACCCTCGAGGGTCGGCGGTCGCTAGTAGGTTGGAGGCCATCGCTGTTAGGGTGGAGGCTGCTGGTAGGTTTGAAGTGACCTCTCCTTGTCCCGACCATGGAGCTCCCTCCTAAGCTCCTGTCTCGACCCAGTTTCTCCAACTGCTCGTCAGGCTTCACCAACAGGCACATGTCCTTGGCAACAAGCGAGTTCGAAGCATGACCATTTCATGGAATATTCATCCGTCTCTGCACCTTCACTCAGATTAGATGAGAATGCCTCATGTTGTCCTGTGCCCAAATGCAGCTTGGCGGCAGTATATGCCCACTCCTGATCAAAAGAACTCACCACAAAAGAACACGCAAAGACAGAATACATGTCTTTCGTATAAACTTGACAGACCAGCGCAGGTGTGTGTGTGTGTGTGTGTGTCTTTTTCCGTGCTCAGTGGTGTCTATGAGCCAACATTGATACATCCGTTCCAGGCTTTGAGCACTTCCCACAATCGATCCTGCACGCCGTGTTCACATTGCACATCCACCCTGAAGACGAGACTTCAAGCTTCGCCCTTTGTTCATACAAATGAGGTGCTGAGCTTTTTGTAAGTCGTGATTGGACCTCGCAATACCTTATTAGTGACATTCTATGCTCCCAGGGTGTCAAACCTGCCCAAGCACTGCTTGTCAGACTATCCTATTGGATCCTATTGGTTCATTGGGCCGGAGTCCCCACCGTCCCAAATGATGTTGGATCCAACTCACGAGGTGTTGGTTTTTGTGCAGGTCTGCAGGTGTACACCTACAAAGCCTACGCATCTAAGCAAATAAGCAAAGCAGAACAAGCCACTTTTGCAGGTGTAATTGATCCGCATCTTCCAAGATGACACCGGAATGGTCGACGACCGACAGATTCGGTTTTCTTCAGATACACTTCTCCTGGCCGTCGGGCCCAAGGCCGCGTGCTTCGTAGATCTTCCTCTCTACATCATGAATACCTAAGCTGCCAAGCTCCGCAGAGCCAAGCTCTGCAGACAAGTCAGATGTCTACAGAATTTTACGCAGATTGTTTTCCGGGACAGTGGATCCCAAACGCTTCAGTCACCCCGCCCGGGCCAGAAGAAAACCAGCGCTTCGATTGACAAGGATCGTCGTAGGATGTTCGTGTCCCACAAGGTCCCACTCTCTGTCTCCACTTCCTGGCGCTCAAAAAGTACGTCGTCGTCCCATCGGTTCACGTCTGTTGCGAAACAAATGCGGTCTTGAAACAAATGTGAAAGCTGCGTTACTGCCTTCAACTGGCATTCTATCACTGCAGTGTGTGTGTGTGTGTGGATGTGGGTGACTCTGCATTGCTCAGTGAACACTCAACAAGCCGTGCACGCCCCATACAAGCTGAAAAAAGTGGAATGAAAACAAAGAGTTGCAGAGAGAGAGAGAGAGAGAGAGCGAGAGCGAGAGCGAGAGTTATTTGTTCACTATGCGGGTTATGGCGATGGACTGCCACCAGAAGATCTAAATCTGGATCTATATCATCCCCTTACAATTTGTTAAGACCGCTTGAACTGCTGGACCAGTGAAGTCGCCATGTGAATAAGAGTTCAGTCCTCATTCAACCTGAGAAACCGAATGAACTCAAGTGGGGGATTTCAGTTGTTGGGTCTCCTCTTCTTCTGTCTCTGTGATGGTCCGTCTTTTACTTGCCACAATTAGGTAGAGGTCCAAGAGCCAAAGTTGACCAGTTGAGCAGGGGCAGACATGTGTGAAGGATTCAAGATGTAATTCTTGCCCTTGCACCAGATGACCTCAAGTGGGGGTTTGAGTCTAGGAACCCTTGACTTGGTGGTCGCAAGCAAAAGCTCTGGATTTAAGAGCAGGAGGCTCCCAAACAGAACTGAATCCAGAGTTGGCTCCCAAATATGTCCTGTGGGAGTGTGAAGGACTAGCTAGCAAGCAGAACAGACTCAACTCAAGGGTTATACAACTCGTTGAAACTCCTTACTTCATTCCTATTCTGATTGAGAAGCAGCCACCAAAGTCTGGAAGAGGCACGTAAATCAGGTGCAAGTAGAACATCCGCTCAGAACCTCATTTGGCCATGTATCCGGTGCCCGTTCCAAACAAAATCAAACAAGACAAGACACTCACAGAGCTGCAAGGAGTTGAGTTTGGAGAGGCTTGAAAGTCCAACATCGAAGCAAGCAACGTTCCTCCAGGTCTTCGCAACCAGGGCAGGCTAATGCCACTTCTTTGAGACTGCGCCCAGCATCTTGCCTGTTCCAAAGGCTGACATGCGCACGACACGGCTTGATGCTACTCGCAAGCAGGGTAAAAGAGAGCTGGAAAAGGATGAACCCTTCGGTTGCAAGAGCAATCCAGTGAGTGTCCCAACTTCCGTGCCTCTTCTTGGCTATATGCTCCTGAATTCAAAGTCAAACAGCCACAGCACACAGTGTGACACGAAAACGTTGGACCAAAAAATCGCAACCTTATCATACGAAAAACAGAGGTGCAAAACTAGTTAGCAGTTCGCAAACAACAAGGAGTCTGTGACGAACCGAAAAGGAACAAAAGGGCGACCGACGAAATGCTGCGAGGCACTCGTAGGATCACTGGGACGATGTCGTTGGGGCGCGGATCTAAGATCCGCACTCCAGACAAAAGCAAGACTGCAATAAAGAGAAAGCAACTGGCCAGGCAGGCAAAACCGCCAAATAGAAATCCTTGGCATCTGAAAAATGAATGAATCAGATTCGCAAGAAATGAACTAACAGTCAAAGAAGAATAACAAAAAAAATACCAAATGTTGGGTAAGGTGCTCCAAGGTTTGGCATCAATGGCCTTGACCATAGCCAACTCATGATGACCATGACCATCTCCATGAGTTTCTCCATGAGTTTCCCCATGCGCAGCGTTTTCCGCAGCCTGCTCTCCCTGAGACAGCAAGGGGTCCTTCCCCTGATCGGCTTGATGTCCCCAGTGTTGGGGCACTTGTGGCGGCGGCCGCTGAGCAGCGAAACTGGGCGCAGGAGGACAAGGGCTAGGGTGACTGGGCCCAACCATTCCGGATACACCAGGCGGCCCTAGTGGCCCACTATGGAATTAAATTACCAGCCTCGCAGAAGGGCCCTACCTGCCTGGCATCGCTTGTTCCTCTTTGTCTGGGTCACGGTCA